AAAAAAATTCCACAAAACTCACAAACTACCAAAACTCTCAGAATGTTGCACAGAATATCTGAACAGTACTACAACTATTAAATATATTGAATTTGCAATTAAATATCTTCTGAAAATGAAATCTCCTTCTTCAGAGAAATTACCTAACATTTAAAGAAGAATAGCAATTCAACAGAATGTAGAAGGATTATTGAACAATCTTTTAGACTATAGCAGAGGAAGGAACACTTTCCAACTCTTCTAACTCATTTTATGAGGATGAAATTATTTTTATGTTGAAGCAAAGCACAGTTAAAACAGAACAAATGAAAAAACTGGATTGATAATATTTTAGGAAAACAGATGAAAAAATTCTGTATTTTGATTTAACAATATTATTGAGTAGAGAAAGATGAAGAAAACGTTGATTGACTTTAGAGAAAAAATATAGATTGTAAATTAGAAATGAAAAATCAAAACAAAATATATGGCCAGAGAAACCTAATTTCAAATTCTTTCTTTTCCACTAAATATTTGGACATTTTGACTAAGGTATTCATTTGGCTTGATTTTATTAATCTCTAAAGTGGATAGAAACCTAGTTAATTTGTAAGTTTCTCATGTTATTTAAAAAACTAAATGAGATCATGTTTATAAATTGCTCGATACCATGCCTGGCTTTAAACTGCATCAATAAATGCCAGCATAAAAATCAAAATGATTAGACACATGCAGATGAAGAAAACAATACTTTATATAACTTTCAATGTAATCCAGACTACTGTAATTTTTTTTTACTAATTGATTTGAATAATTTCCAAATTATCTATTGTGTTTCTTATTATTTTAATTTTGAAAAAAATAGTATGATTATAGGTCCATTTTATCTGAAACTACAATCTGCTTTGATGGTGCCAGTCCCTGCTCTGTACAGAGGCTCACAAAGCATCTTTAGAGTGTAAAAATAAGAGTGACTCTCCTACCAGGTTCATAGACCACTTCCTCCAATTGACACAAAATTTCCATCTGCATAGTTGCTAACTTTGTAAATTCAAAGTCTCTGTCATAGAGGATCATTAATAAACTGCCTAGGACACTAGATGAAGAACAGACAGAAACTGGTGGAGAAGTCATAGAAGAGACAATACTCATTGTCTCCTAACTTTCTTTTGTATTTGTATAGATCTGCTTATCTGTTCAGTTAGCGACTTGACTAATTTGGGAAGCACAGAATATTTATCACTCAATAGTAAAAAGTAAATTCTTGAAGCTATAAAACTCAGTACCTATATACCTGGCACAAAACAGGTGTACAGTAAGTGTTTGTCCTGTACTGAACTACATAAACAATTAAGCATTGAGCTAATAAGACTCTGATGCCAAAGTGCCCTATTGTCACCGTGTGGCAGGGAGGTTCAACTCCAGTGCTCTTAGGATGTTGGATTCTATTATCTCAACAAATGGTGGGACAATACAACTCTCTTTATCAGCCCATGCCAATTCCTTTCCCCAGACATTGCTTTGGGCATTTCCTATAGGCCATACTGACCTGAGACTTGGCCAATGACTGGTGATAAAAAGTCACCAAAATCCAGATATATAATCACTTCCTTTGCTTTGCCTCTGACCTTGTACCTTCTTAAAAATCACATATCCAGACAATTTCAGAGTTGGTATGTGATGTATTGTGTTCTAGATTACCCCCAAAAGGAGAATCAGTCTATCCATGATAATTAATCATCATTTGCCCATGTCTCTTTCATGGCCCCTAACTATTAGAATGAAATGGGAACACTCTCTTCAGACCGGTTTAGCCACTATATCTTTAACTACAATATTTCTTTAACAGGCTTGGTAGAAACGAATCTAGGAAGGGACCTTGTACAACATTTCTGCAAGTTTAAGAAGGAGCTGTCAGCAGGGTGTGGTGGGACAGACCTATAATCCCAACAGCTAGGGAAGCTGAGGCAGGAAGATCACAAGTTTGAGGCCAGTCTCAGCAATTTGGCAAGATTCTGTCTCGAAAATACAAAAAAGAATGGAGATGTAGCTTAGTGATAAAGTACCCCTGGGTTCAAACAAACTAAAGAGTTTTCCTAACTCACTGTCAACCCAGATGCCTAAAGTCTTCATTTCACACAGGTATTGTCACCGATCAAATATACATCTTAGTGACCCTGACTAAACTGGTGTAAAATAGACTGTACACAAAAACACCTTATTTTTATCTATCTACTTCTCCTGCTTTGTTTCCTCATCATTGTATACCAAAGTCATATTACATGAAGATAAACTTATTACTCCCCTCCTATCTCAAGCAAATATAATCTCTCTGAGAGCAGGACTCAGTATTACTATTTTCTTTAGGGCTGTATCCCCAAAACCCAGACTGTCCCTAATACATGGTAGTCATTCAATTAAGACTCATGAAAGGACTGGATAAAGTTCGACATTAACCATTTTCTAATGTAATGTGCTCATTTAATGGATGAAGAGTTTGCATAAAAACTTCTTAAACTACATGTGAGATAATGGGGGCAAAGTGTGTTTCATATTATTGCACTCATGATCACAGTATGAGGTATGTAATATTATTATCATCCATCTCACTAATGAAGAAACTGAGATTTACAGAGATAGAGCCTAATGTCATAGAACTAGTAAGTTCTAGAACCAAACTTATGATGGCCTCATTACAGAGTCTTCCTACTCTGTTGCACAGTGTGTTCCTGAAAGACACACTGAGAAAGAACTGAGCTAATAACCTAAATGTCAATCATCTATATTACATACAAACATCTAAAGTACACATAAACACAGCATTTTAAAATTTTAACAGTTTAGATATTATTGTCACCTAAGCATGTATAAAATAGAAACAAAAATCAATACATTAAAGTAAAATTTAACTTTAAAATGCTCAATTTTTACTGACATGACTAGAAAATTCTTATTTTTCAAAAGCCATTCAATGGATGATTGAGAAGCACAGTAAATCTCCTCCAAAAGCAACAATAAATCTTGACAAAATTTCTTGAGCTAGGGGTGTGTGGCTCAGTGGAACAGTTCTTGCCTGGCATTTGTGAGGTCCTGGGTTCAACATCCACAGCACCACAAAGGAAGGAAAATTTTTTTTTTCAAAGACAACCATCTAAAAACTGAAAATTGGCCAAAAGGACAGAACAAATTGAGAAACATTAGTTTAAGAATATCTCTAAAACCTCATTGTTAGCAGTCAAAGTCTGTAGAATTTTAGTCTAGGACTGCTCCTGTTGTCCACACCCAGCTTTGTGGTGCAGAAGTGTTATCAGAACAATGGAAGGAAATTAACTATATTTGGAACAGAGTTGGAAATTTTCATACGTAGGGATGTTGTCAAAATAATGATTTTCTCACTGGAAAACATTTAAGAAAGGCCAACATTGTGACCTGAAATCTCAATAAAGAGAGCAATAGAAAAGTGAGAGGGACTGAAGATCAAGCTCTCGGCACAAGAAAGACAAAGTAGGCCATTATAAGACCCTATTTGTGCCCAGTACAGGTAAAGCATTCTTGGAAAAAAAATGTAAATCTGAAGAACTTACTAATTTCAATACTGCTAATAAAGCTATAATATCCAAGACAATGTAGAACTGTCACAAAGATATGCATATATATTAGTGGAATGGAATGAGAATTTAGAAATAAATTCTGACATATATGGTTGATCAATTTAGACAAAAGTGCCAGGAAGTTCAATGAGGAATAATATCTTAGCAAATGGTGCTGAGACAATTGCATATCACATAAAAATAAAAATGTAGACCTTTAACTCATACCACAAACATACAAGTTAATTCAAAGTGGATTGTAGACCTAATTATAGTATCCAAACTTATAAAAAATTTTAGGAGAAAATATTAGTGACCTTGACTTAGGCAAAGATTTCTTGGGCATGACAAGAAAATCATAATCCATAAAAGGAAAAGTTGGATAAGTTCAATTTCATCTACATTTAAAACTTTTGTGCTTTAAATAACATGAAAAAATGAAAGAAAATCACCCATGAACTTAGAAAAATGTTTGGAAATTATATATCTGATAACTGTCTTGTATCGAGAATATCCAAATAATTCTTATAATTCTATAAGAAGAAAGCAAATATTCAAATTAAAAACTGGGCAAGGGATTTGAAATATTCCAAAGAAGATGTATGATATAAATAGACATTTCTCTAAGTACAAGAAAACATATTCATAAGCCTAGTCATTAGAGAAATGCTAATCAAATCCATAATGAGGTAACACTTCACACCCACTAAAATGGCTATAATCAAACAGAAAATAACAAATGGTGGTAAGAATGTGGAGAAATTTTAACCCTCATACATTGCTAGTGGAATTGTCATTTGATATAGTCACTTTGAAAAACATTTAGAAGTCTCTCAATAGTTTATATATAAAATTTCCATACAGCCCAGCAATTCCATCCTGGGAATCTAACCCAAAGCATTGAAAATATATGTTCACTTGAAGAATTTTATGTGAATACTACAGCATCAATATTCATAATAGCCTCAAACTAGAAATAGATCAATGTCCACCAACTGATAAATGAATAAACAAAATGTGATATAGTCATAAAATGGGATGCTATTTAGATATAAAAAGGAACAAAATATTGATAAGTATTACCATGTGAATTAGCATCAAAAATATTTTGCTAAGTGAAAGAAGCAACATTGGAAATTACATATTATATAACTCCATTTACAGGAACTGTTCCAAACAAGGGAAACCTATAGAAATAGATAGAAGGTTAATGGCTTCCTGGAGTTGGGGGTAGAAATAAGGAATGACTACATTGAGGCATGAAGGTGATGGCAGCATTCTAAAATTGAATTATGATGGTGATAATGTAACTATAAATTGCCAAAAGTTATTGGTTTGTATACATTGATGAATTTTATGGAATACAAATTATAATTTGTTAAATATTTTTTAACCAAACAAGGAATGTAGTAGATTTCTATATATCCTTACCAACAATTACTTGATGAATTTGCTTTGGTGTCAATATTAAGCTGCAATCATATTTTTCATGGAGTGTGGATGGGTATGCCTTAAGTCCTTTGGGAACCTGAGAAAAAAAAAACACATTTTCCCAAAATTAAACATTCAATATTAGCAAAAGCCACTATAATTCTCATGGCATAACAAAATGTAAATGTAAAATATTGCACATGCCTTTCTTTCCAGGGATTCCATTTCCTTGGATGCTATTTTCTTGGTACTTAACAATTGATTAGCTTTGATCAAACACTCAGCTGAAGATTGGGACTCTTCTATTTCCACTTCTGAGAGTGAGGGTGACTTTAGACCTGATGCTGGCTCTATGCCTATGTCTGTATAGTCATATGAATATATGCATTTCCTATCAAAATAATAATAAGTAATTGAGGCCAAGTCTTTTATAAAATACTTGTATATATTCAAATATTTCCTAGTATATGCAATTACTGTCCCACTAATATCTACTTAATCATATTGGTGCACTAGTTTGCAGAAAATTTTCTTTGCTGAAGGCACTCCTCTTTCTCAAACACCTCACAAAGAAAGTTTATATGCTCCACCCTCACCCTACTGCCACTCAGGGACAGTTCATAATCAAAGCCTGGTATGGAACACAAAAGACAAGCCCCCCTCTGGCTCAATGCAGAAACATCTACGTGGTATAATATATGCTCAAGAGACTCTAGGCAGGAGGCTGTTTAAACTTTATTTGAAACATGGCCTATATCATTTCCCTTCCCTTCCCTTCCCTATTCTGCTTCTTTCATCCTGTAAAGTTTTTTCCTGACAGCATACTCTCCATAAATCACATACACTAAAATCCCTGTCTTAGGATTTGCTTCTAGAGAAACTTAGATGAGATATCCCCAAATCAAAAAGTAACAATATGGTTTAATATTTTGCTTTTACTCTATATTAATTGTTTAAATCATTAAAAATGGAAAGGAAACTAAGGAATGAAGAAAAATTCAGATATTCACATGCAGGAGACTGAACTTTGACCCTATCTTTTATGCTACACAAAATCAACATAAAATGAATCAAAATCCTACATGTAAGACCTGAAACTATGAAACTACTAGAAGAAAACAAAGAGGAAACACTTCAAGACACTGGCATAGGCAACAATTTTTTTGACAAGATTCCCAAAACAACAGCAACAAAAATGAAGAGAGACAAATGGGATTATATCAAACCAAGAAGCTCCTGCATAGCAAGGAAACAATCAAGAGAGTGAACCGGCAAGCTACAAAATGGGGAAAAAAATTGCAAACTACTCATCTGACAAAGGATTCATATCCAAAATACATAAAGAATTAAAAATAAAATTAATAACAACCACGAAAACTAATCCAACTTAAACTGGGCAAAAACTTCTCGAAGGAACAAATTCAAATGGCTAAAATTTTTTTAAAATGTTCAACATCATTGCTTATCAGGAAAATGCAAATCAAAACTATGATAAGATAACATATCACCTCAATGAGAATTGCTATTATTAAAAATAGCAATATGAGGCTGGGGTTGTGACTCAAGTGGTAGAGTGTTCACCTAGCACATGTGAGGCACTGGGTTCGATCCTCAACACCACATAAAAATAAAATAAAGCTATTGTATCCACCTAAAACTAAAAAATAAATATTTTTTAAAAATGTTGGAAAGATGTGGAGAAAAAGGAATTAAATATACTGTTGGTGAGAATATAAATTAGTATAGCCATGACTAAGAACGTTATGTAGGTTCCTCATAAAAATAAAAATAAATCTACCATATGATCCAATTACCCACTCCTAGGTTTATATCCAAAGGAAATAAAATCAACCTAATGAAGAGATGGCTTTCATACTTGTTGTTTATCATGGCATTATTGATAATAGTTAAGTTACAGAATCAGCCTAGGTGACCATCAACAGATGAATGGAGAGAGAGAATGTGGTATATAAACACACAGTGGAATATTATTTGGCCATCATGTTGTACCTCATATGTTGATGCTAAAAAGTATCTATATGAATGTAGAATAGTAATTACTAGAGACTGAGAAGAGTTGGGGAGGTTGGATGACAGATACCAAAACATAGTTGGGTAGATAGACACAATATGTTTTAGTGTTCTACAGCACAGTGGAGTGACTATAGTTCACAATAACCTATTGTATATTTTAGTAAGAATTAGAAGAGAGGAACTTGAAGACTCTAAACACAAAGTAATGATAAGGAGATGGAAATGCTAATTACCCTGATATGATCATTACACATTATATACATGTACTGAAACATCCCATTGTATTTCATAAATATGTATGATTATTATGTTAATTAAAAATAAGGAGATGGAGATACTAACTATTCTGATTTGATCATTACAGGTATCAAATTAACAAATTGTACTTTATAAGTTTGTACAATTAAAATAATAATACTTAATTTTAAAAAGGAAAAGAAAAAATTCTGGCTCTTTAGTTACTATGATTTGCTGCATATGGTTTGAGGAATTGAACTTTACCTCTCTTCTTCTTTCTGTAGGCGTACACTTCTTAAATATTTAATATAATTGTCATAGTAATTTTTATGTGCTTTCTTTTCGAGTTTTTCAAAGTCAGTATATGCAAAATCAGGATCCACATAAGTATGTCTTGGAATCTTTGTGAAAATTGTCCTACAATATGAGCAACTCTGTTAAAATTCATATGTATGCATTTGCTCAATCAGTACTTATGGAGTGCCTACTAACCAATTTCTATGTCAGGTGTTAAACACAGACTGGAGAATAGGACAGACTCTAGTCATTTTTCTCATATCCTAACCTGAATTAAGACACTATTACATGTAGAACTTCTAGGATACCTATTTTTTTTTCCTTAAGCTAGTAAGAAAAAAATTCCTCTTAAGGGTATTGCAATGTAAGTGTATGTACTTTAAACCCATCTTTCAGGAGCTGGACAAGTAGGAAATTTAAACAATTCTAGATTATAGATCAATCTTTAAGAAACTAGATCTGAATCTGATTAACGTTTCCTAAGTTTCTTGCCCTTAGATCAGCCTTATATTCACTCAACTTGCCTCATGCTCTTCCATTTTACCCACCATGTATTTTCAATAAAAACATAAAATGCATTATTTACACCTTCAGGCATTGGTCTACCTCAATCCTCAGTAAGTTTTATCAATCAAGAGTCTCACCCTCAATAATGAACTCATCAGTATGAACCTATTAGTATCACGGTCAAGTGAATATTAATAAAAATTAATGTTTTCTTCATTTTCCATAATTCCTCAATGTTGAAAACTAAAAGTCATCTTCCTATAAACAGAGTAATACAGTAAGAGGAAAAGTACTTAGTCATTCAAAGATAGTTGTTGATATTTAAATTTCCCTTTAGACTAAGACTCTTTTTGCCATTTTTAGAACCTAGAAATAATTCCTATATCTAAAGTCCTGAGGTCTCTAAGGAGAAAGGGAGGAACATGGAAAGCAGTAGTGAAGTAAATCCCTGAGGAGCGGATGACTAATAACAAATCTAAATTCTCATTAGAACTTTAAAGAATATACATCTAGAAGTATCTTTGCAGCTTGGAGTAGGTGATTTTTTTTTAAAATGCAATAAATGGGAATGAAAATGTAAATAAAAATTTCATTTATTTATTTAAAAAATTACTGAGTGCCAACTATGTGCCTGATGGAGGTCTAAGCACAGGGCATACTGCTGTAAAGAAAAATTAGACAAAAATTCTTACTTTATTTTCTTCTCAAAATTTGAAAAGGTAAAATTCATTAAATATAATAGCAATTACAATGAACAAAAAGCACACTATAATAAATTTCTTTCTTTACTTAAAGTTACTAATTACTAGCCAGAAAATATGCTACTAAATGTCTTTTCTATTAATGTGAAAATAGTTCATTAAACCCCTTTGAGAAAAATAAATATGGCTATGGAAAAAAATATGAACTGCTAATCTTTATTTTTTTTTTAAATTCTGGCAATTTTAGATGATCTAATTAATACACACTGATATTATATTAAAGCATTATATCTCTGTATACACATATTTATTTAAGCTTTAGAAAGAGTTGAAGCTACCACTGAAAGGTAGGAGGAGTTGCAATGTGTCAGAAGGAAAGATACAACTTTCTATTTATAATATATAATTATTTTAAATGAAGTCTGAGTAATCTTTACATTTCTCTGTTTTATAACACTTGTCAAATGTGAATAGAATTTTCTAAATAAAACTATTAAGACAGTCTATAGGAAAAACCCAGACTTTTCCAACTGTAGAAGGCTTCAAAAATATGCCCTAAAATCAAATGGGATTATAAGAAAATGCCTGCAAAATTAGGTGAGCTTAATGACTCCTAAGATAAAGAGACAAGTGGATAAACTCCAGGGCCATTACCAAGTTTATATATTCTATTCATAGCAAACAAACAGGCCCAAAAGAAAACTAGTTCTGAAAGTTTCAAGTTTTGAAAACATTTCTGGGCTCAGGACCAGAAAAAGATGTCAAGAAGCCTTGGTCACGTCTAATTGACCATTGGTAAAATAGCAATTTCTTTGAGGTTTGGATAAATTTAAATTGAAGTCTAACACTCCTTATTAACCTTATTGGGAAAGTTAAGTTTGGGTAAGGTTATTGGAAATGTGTCTTTGAGTGTGTAAACAAAGATGAAGATAATCGTTTTTAATCACAATTTTAATTTTTTTACTTAGATAAATTCAAAGTTTTAACTATATTTAATAAACATGACTATTCTGAAGATTTCTTACATTTCCAAAAGTGATCATTTCTATTGTTCTTCTAGAGTTGTCAATGATATATTTTAAGAATTATTTTGTATACCATTCGCTTTGTGGCAAATAAATAGAAGTGATAAGAGGTTGGATAAAGCAAATACAGTGGCATGCAAAAACCATCTCATAAGATATTACTATTATTATTGCCATCATTAGTTTCTTATATCAGGTTCTGATCAGACCTCTGCATATCATCTTAAATATTATGTCTTTCAAAATTTCAGTTTTTAATATTACATGTTACCTGAAATATTTACGGTTGTCTTCAGACCTGATACTTGCAGCTCGGTCATTAGGAAAGGCTATTAGTGCATCCTTCATTGACTCCTCATTTGTTCGATGATCATGAATGTGTGTCCTGGCTGATTGAAGCATTGCTACAGGTGCCTGGACCTTATAATTTTCCAAATCACTGACCACCAAATGTCCGATGGGATTAGTGATCAAAGGGGATATACCTTTTATAGAATTGAATATTAAGTTTATATATTGTACTTTGAATTTTAGTTTAAAAAATGCTATGTAATAGTTAATATACTAGAGAATTGGTTTTAACTTAAATATTAAAGCCTCAAAAACCACAGAAATAACATATATGCTATCCCACACAAAACAATTTATCAAAATAATACTTAAATAATGCATAAAAATAAAATATGATAACTTAAAGGATTTACATTGATCCATATGAAAGTGCAATTTTTGTAGGTCAAAGACAGCTATGTATCAGTGACTTTACATGTTTTAGTACATAAAAGATTATAAAGGAATGGATAAAACAGCAGCAAGAAAAATCTATGAAATGGTCAAATCTAGTTTATATTATAAGCTCAAGTAAACAAAGTAGAAAAAATAAAATGTAAAAAAAACAGAAACATTAAAATATTTAGAAGTTATATAGGTTACTAAACCATGTGATACTCAGAATAGGAACACAACCTCTGCTGGGAATAAAGTAGAAATGCAAATATTTGGGCCCCAACACAGACCTATTTAATAATCAGTGCTGGGATGGAGGTCAGTGACATGTATTTGAACAGATCTACTAAAGGATTTTGATACATTCTAAACGAACCACTGAAGTAGGTCATATTTGATATAGAGCTAAGCAATTAGTATATTAATATTACATTAACAACTAAATCAAAAGTAGGTGAAAATCATAATAGCATACCAGGATTAATTTTCATCACAACTTTCTTAGTGAAAGGTTTGCAGATGCTATTGAATTCTAAATATATGTGATAAAACGGTTTCATTGATGAAGACTGCAAATTTTCATCTACCACTGGGCCAATAATATCTATCACCTGCTTCACTTTAAAGTTTCCAATTTGATGTGGAATAAATGAGCACATCACATTCTAAAAGCAATAAATAAATAAAATAAAATAAAAAGAAGAGGAAAAGTAATCAATATACTATTGTTCAGAAAAAAATAAAAGCAAACCAGGAAAACCAATTCACTTTAGTTTCAAGGAATGCTAGTTCATCATGATAACATAAAGCACTTTAGCAACATTCAGCATTGACAAATATTTAAGATACTCATTATTGGAAATTTATCTAGGAAAAATTAAGAACATAATACCAAAGTGCTTCAAGAATGGCAAATTAAGGCAGGGCATGGTGGCACATGACTGTAATCCCAGCAGCTCAGAAGCCTGAGACAAGAGGACCACAAGTTCAAGCCAGCCTCAGAAACTTAGTGAGGCTCTAAAGCAACTTACAGAGATGCGGTCTAAAAATAAAAAATAAAATAAAATAAAAAGGGCTGGGGATGTAGCTCAGTAGTTTGAGCATACCTGGGTTCAATCCACAGTGCAAAACAACAACAACAACAAAAAACACTAAGAACCTCCAAAATTCCGCTTCTCCACAGAAAATACTGGCAAAAATTTTGCCAAAATCTATTTTTGAGATATACAGAAATTATCTAAAGGGATACAAAACTCCAGGGAGTACTTTTTTTAAAAGTTGCTGAATCTATAAGAGAATAGAAGTCTTTGTGGCATTTTTACTTTTTATAATTGCATTCTCCTAAACACAGTTTTGTGGTCTTCTTGAAAAACAGCATTGCAACTAAGGTAGCTGTGAAAATCATTAGCCTAGCAAATTGGAAGGGAGAAGAATGGGTTTGGAGATTTCTAGAAGTTCCATCTCTAGAACCTGTATCAATTTGTTCTGTCTGGCTGCTGGCTAAAAAGCCTATGAGGTCACATCTTCATTTGATGTGAATCAGAACTCATTCCCCATGAAGAACCCTTTCCCCAGGATTTCTTCAGAAAAGCACATACATGTATATAAAAATGATATATATAAATAACAATTTTTAAATATCACAGCAACTTGAGGTGACATCATGTAAATTTAAAAAAGAATCTAATAATGGAAAAAGAAAGGATTAAGCATATAAATTTAAAAAACACTTGAGAATAAGGTATTCATATTGTATTTGGAAATCTCTGTCATATTTCTGGGTATCTGGATTGCCACACACATGTGCAGACTGTGTACATGCCTGGGGAAACTTGAGATAGCTCTAATCTCTCACCTCTGGTTGACTCTGAGACTCCTTATAGGGAGGAATTGAAAGTTAAAACGAGTTGGAAACTACCTGCTAAAATTTTGAAGACATGCCTCAACAGACTTACAAAGAGGTTTCTGACATAGGCTGAGACTTGTAAATTCAAGCAATTTGAGCAAAGCTCTGTCCAATCATTAGATGAAGACTTAATTAACTGAGTAGAGACATGATTGGCAGCAAACAATAAAGAAATTAATACAAAATTAGTCTAAAAAGTCATTAAATAAACAAAACAACAACAAAATCAGCAGTAACAGTAAACCTTGGAGTAATTTAATTTTCATAGTTGTCAAATGATATTACTTAAAATGCCCAGTTTTCAAAAGAAAAATATGACACAACAAAAGAAACAAGAAATTATGACCAATACAGTATTAGATAATGTCCCTAAGGAAATTCAAATGTAGGACCTATTAGACTAAGATGATAAATCATCTATTATAAATATGCTGTAAGAATTAATGGAAAACAGGTCTAAAGATTTAAAATAAAATTGAGAACAATATCTAATGAAATAGATAATTTCAGTGAAATATAAAATATATTTTTAAAAAGAACAAATAAATATTCTAGTGAGCACAGAAACTAAAATTTTAAAATTCACTAAAAAAGCTCAATGAGAGATTTGAACTAGCACCAGAAATAATCAATAAACTTGAAAACATGAAATTATCTAGACTGAAAAAGAGAGAGAAAGATGAAGAAAAAAAGAGGCATCTCAGACTTTTGGGACACCATCAAGTATAGTGCTATATGAATAATAGAAGTCTTCATAGGAGAAGAGAGAAAAGAGCAGGAAGAGAATTTGAAGAAATAATAACTGGAAAGTTCAGACACTTAGATGAAAAATATTAATCTGTATAACAAAGAAGCTCAACAAAACCCAAGTAGAATAAGTCAAAGATATCAACACCTAGACGCATTAGAGTCAAATTGTCAATGACCAATGACAAAAAGAATGTTGTAAACATCAAGAAACAGTGACTTATCTCATACAAAGGATTCAAAAGCATAAATAGCTAATTTTGAAATGGAAATATTGGAGGCAAGATGGCATTGGTGATGATACATTCAAATACCAAATGAAAAAGACAAGTCAACACAAAATTCTGTAACTAGTAAAACTCTCAGTCAAACCGGGCGTGGTCATGCATCCCTGTAATCCCAGTGGCTCAGGAGGCTGAGTCAGGAAGATACTGAGTTCAAAACCAGTCTCAGCAAAAAGTGAGGCTGTATGCAACTCAGTGAGACCCTGTCTGTAAATAAAATACAAAATAGGGCTGGGGTTGTGGCTCAGTGGTCGAGTGCCCCTGAGTTCAATCCCCAGTAACACCCCCCCCACACACACACACACCAAAATCTCAGTCAAACTGTATGAGTTAAGACATCTCCAATACATGTGGAGAGAATGTGTCACTAGAAAATTTGCATTAGAACAGTACTAAAGGGACTCATTCAGGATGAAATAAAAGACACTTGACAATTATGTAAATTTAGACAAAGCAATTAGGAGCATGGCTAAAGGTAACTATATACATACATTAAAAACATCATAAATGTATTTTTATTTGTAATGCTTTCCTATTCATCTGATTTAAAAAATCAATGCATAAAACAATTATTGAAGAGAAATGACAGGCTTTTAAAAATAATAAATTTGTATGACAGTAATAGCACAAAGGAAGAGGAAACAATTATATTGAAGTAAATTTTCATATATAATTGAAATTAAGCTGATATTGAAATCAGTTTGAGACAAAACTAAATTTCACCAATTTCCTTCTGGGTTCTTGTCTAGAAAAATTGAAAAATAAAATCTACAGGCAATAATGGAAGGCAAGAGTGAACAGAGTAGGATTTATTTAAGTAGGGGAAAAAAAAGAACTCCCCACAAGGCAAGAGGGAGACTAATAGCAAGTTTTCCACCTAAATGTACTAGTCTAGGTGCTTATTTAACTTCTGAGTAGAGGCACTGATTAAACTCCTTGCTAAGGAGGTACTGAAAAACTGTTAAGGCTATTGGCTTGGTCTGCAACCCTTCAATTGGCTGTGTCCTTTGAGTTTGAACTTTCCTATAATCTCCATTTGTGTCCACCCCCACTTCCACTCTCCCTCCACTCCAGGACACTCCACTCCAGGAGTTGGCTGGAATGATTGAAAAGTTTCTACAGGTTAACCTCCTGGAATGGTCTTTACAAATGAAAACAAACTTAATTGAGGTCCCTTATGGTGATTGCCTACAAAACCAGTAGTTTCTTTCATTATCCCTGATTTTATTAAGGTATAATTGACAAAAGTTGTATACACTTGAGGTATATAACTTAGCATTGTGATGTGTGTATATGTTGTGAAATAGTTCAACCAAGCCAATTAACATACCCATACATTTTTGTGGTAATGAGATGTAAAGCCAGATCAGGTTGTAAAATGAAAGCGCTTCCCCTCCCTTTCTAAGAGACTTTCTTCAGGAAACCTAATTAACCAGGTTTCTTACTCTAACCTTTTGGAATGTAAAATAACTTTTTAGAGTCTGGATTTCACCCTTTTTGAAATGTAAACACCCCTGTGCCAGGCCCTGAGGCACACAGGAAGGCTAGAAGTTTAACAGATGCCTGTGAAAAGAACAATTTCCCCTCATCTCTTCTGCATTTATAAACAGCTTCCTTCAGTCACTTGTAGATTAGAAATTTTATGACACCAAATAGTGGGGTGTAGCAGGCCTCTGATCAAAAAATGGCATAAACCAGTTAGGTTTAAAATACATCTATAGAACATCCAACCCAACAATAGCAGAATGCATTGCACATAAATCTATGTTAAGCCATGAAATAGGTAATAGTACTGAAATCTACACAGTATGTTTTCCAACCAAAATCCAATGAGATTAGAAATCAAAAGAGAGAACATGAAAAACTCAAATGTTGAAAATTAATATCGTTCTAAACAACAACCAACTGATCAAAGAAGAAATCACAGAGGAAATTTGAGAATACTTTAAGATGAAGGAAAAACTAAAACGTACCAAAATGTATGAAATACAGGAAAAGTGTAACAGTGGTCCACCTCATGCTTTGAATATAACCCTTTCTGCTCTGCCACTGGGACTTATTTTTTAAATGGACATTTTTTTTTCTCTCTTCTGCCTCAGTCTGGCTGGGCACAATCAGGAGCCACTTGTCAAAAGAAACTAACTTTATTTTTAGAACCACACACGCCAAACAAAACAGCCTCTCAGGAAAAACCCTCAGAGCCTCAACTGCCACCACCGGCTTTCCACAAGCCTCTCTCACCCTCAGAAGCTTCTCTCCACCTCCCACAATCCTCCTGCTCTTGAGGCCGATTGGCTGGGTCACATGGGCGGAGCCAAAAAAGTCCCCCAATGAGCAGCTCCGTGGTCTGAAAGGGCAGGGAAACAGCCCAATGAGCATCACCGCAGAGGAGCCAATCAGCTAGATGTTGCTGGGGCCGCTGTGAGCCAATCATCAGCCAGCAGCTGGAAGTTTGCTGGCAGCTGGAAGTTTGCTGGGGCCCCTTCGGCTGTGGCTCTCAACACTCTTCTCCCTACCTCTAGAGAAACAGGATTATCTTTCTTTCCCATCCTAGGCCAAGTTATCTGTCCAGGAACACAGATACTAAGGAACTAAGTAATTCATACTTTGATATGGTGCCAGAAGATCTCAGAAATGACTATCTCACAAATTAAAAAGTGAATTATAACACTCCTCATCACCCACAGGGAACACCTTTGAATCACCTCTTTAAAAGCCCCCTGTTCCT